AGAAGAGCTTAAACACTGAAGACACCCTCTACCTTTTATGTGACAAGCTGTTGGTCCTGGGAGAACAGGCACATCTGTTAGAAAATTCAGATCAAGAGTTTTTTTTCTTCTAGAGTTGAGTTTTTAAAAGGGAAAAGCTGCACTATTTTTATTATGAAGTCCAGTCTGTTGAAGAATACACAGAACCTCATATCCAGGAAATCACAAGAATAATTATTTGCTGTTCAAACAGCAGCTTCCAAATGCTAATGTGCTAAATACACGGAGAAGCCCCCCAGGTGCCACAGCGGAGGTTTTCACCGTGTTCTCCTTGCCAGACGAGGCCTCTATGATGGAGCCAGAGCCCAGAGGTTTGTACCTAGTAGCTGGGAACACACTTGGGTTCATGCCAGGTCCAGAAATAAATCCTAGATGATGTTTACATTCAGCACGAAATAAACAGTATTTCAGGACCCAAACAGTCCAGGAGCCAGGAAAAAAGGAGAATGAGAATGAAAACAAGGAGGTGTGAATACATGTGCTCTTTTCTTATTACATAAGAGTCAAAAATCTGGATGCTGTCTTCAGAGGCAAAACACGTTTCTCAAGAGTGAGCCAATCAGATTTCACACACCCACTTTTGAGAAAATTACCTAAAGAATCTTAAGAATCCAGATATTCTTTTATTGGCTACAAGAAGAGAATCCAGAAAAGTTTGTAGGACTTATAGGTAGCTATTACTTGATTAGAATAAAATTATTATTATATCAGAACATTTTAATCCCTGCTTAATGGGAATTCTTTACGTTGGCCAAGAAAGCTACAGTTTGATAACTAAGCTCAATCTTTTGTTCCTGAAGATTTTATGCCAACTGTAATTAAATGAAGAAACATCTGAAGGGTAATGGGTTTTTATATGGAGTAGAATACTAAAAATTTTTCCAAAATCAATTACCCTAGTGGGTTTTATTTATAGACCTCCCAAACAGGAGACTTACTCCCCGCCAAATGCTGGCTCTGCATTCTGACTTTTCTGGAGCACAGACTCGGGAAGCAAGGGGTGCAGTGACCTGATGTTTAGGGTCACTGTTAAGATTCTGCTAATGAGAAGACAGTGCTAGGACACATTCTACTGGTAAAGGTCACATCTGATGCGAGAGTTGGTTTACCGCGTTTCACCCCAAAGCTAATATTGCGTAATATTAACTATCATGTAGAAATGTCAGGTGTTTCTTTTCATCACTTAAAACTTTGGCCTACAGAAGAGCAATGTCTGTGAGAGGCCATGTCCTCTTTGTAATCACACTCGCCTCCTCTACTCAGCCCAGGATACAAAGGAACCAGCCTTAGCGTGTCATAAGACAGAAGCCTGAACAGGGAAGAATGAGCCGCAGGTGAGGCGAGGCACATGACTGAGCCCGGGCTCAGGGTCTCCATCTTTGCTTTCACTACTAAGGCATCAGCACTCCTTCCTAGAGATACGCCCTCACCAGGCCATCTGGTCTCCAGAGCTCTGGGGCGCCTGGGCAATGCCCTGGAGGTTCCCGAGGGCTGCCGGTGATGACGGAACACCAGCTCCCAGTTCAGGTCCCTCCTTCCCCACCCGACCCCCAGCAGAGCAGCACAATGCTCTACCACTCCACCTGCCCCCTGTCTTGTCCCACGCCAATGGGGAGAACTCTGGGTGTGGAGCAGTCAGTAGGTCCACCTGGGGAATGCGCATCAGTCACCACACACTCACCACCTCCTCCTGCCGCGGCACCACACGTCCAGCATGTGCTCAGCCCCAGCTGCACAGCTCTGGAGGCTGGAGGGTGGAGGGTGCACTGGGTCCACACGGCAGCCTCCCCTTTCAGCAACTGCCTGAAGCACTCGCCCTCTGAGCCTATTCTCCGACAGTGGCACCTTGTCAACAGATGTCCACTCCCCAGATGTCAAGCTCTGCCACCCATCTGCCCAGCCGCAGGGGAAAGAATTCTCACCATCCTTGGAAGGCTCTGCTTTCCAGGGGGAGTGAGGACGAGGAGGGTTGCCTTGGCCAGGGCTCAGCTTCTGTCTGTGCATAATTATGTGTAACTTAGATACAAATCCTAAATGATGAGCACAGGGTAGGCACACAGAAAGGCTTAATACACGGTGGCCGTTCTCATACCACTCTCATGGATACGCACTCCAGGGAGGGGCCTTAAATGTGTAAGGGGGGCCTACTTGATGAGACTGCCTGCGGAGGGTTAGCAGGCCGGCTGCACGAAGGGGCACAAGGGCACAGCAGCTGCCACCTTTCCTCTTTCACAGAGAAAACACCCGTAAGGGAGGCGCAGTTTTGCTGAATAAGTCAACGCAGATGTTTCAAACGTTATGTACCTCCTACCTCATCCCATGTTGACGTAAATGCTGACAAAGGTGGCGCTGTGATTTAGGAAGCTGGAGGGATGCAACGAGATATGAGCATGTGTGAAAATGTACACTGAAATAGTTTAAGGGGGACCAACTTTAAAACAGTATATGTTCTTGGGGTTAGCGTGTTGGAACTGTCAGCTGAGCAACTCCAACCACCAACTGTGCCCAAACACGGTACTGGGCTTAAGCTGGGAACCCTGGCCCCATGCGTGGCGCTGTCACTGTTTGTAGCTCTCGGTCCTTCCTTAGCAGCTGCTACGTCTGTCAGGGTGGTGGGGACCAGGCGACTGACTGGAACCATGGATGCTATTTCTGTGCATAGGATGTGAGTAAGTACACATCACAGTAAGCCAGACCAGGACATGAGTCAGATTATTATAAAGTGTTGAAAGGAACTGATCTCCAAGGCATCCTGAAAGCATCATGCGTGCTACACCCTGGAAAGGGGCTACAGTTTGAAAGACACTTATAATTACTAAGCAAAGGAGAATTCCTGAAGAATAGGGGCGATTGGAATTGGCCAAAGGCAACCAATGAAAAGAAATGGTTAAGGTTGACGTTACAATCTAGAGGTCTTAAAACTTAGAGGTAAAAAGAAAGATTTATTACCAGGACCACATATTTCTCTAGCATACTTTGGCCATACAGGTAGAAGTGGTGAAATGTGGGCAGCTTGGAAAAGCCATGGAACATGGGCTTGCTTATTTTCCTTTTAAAACAAAACATTTTATCTGCAGAGAAGTTTTCATGGGGCCAAGTTAATGGTCTTAAATTGGCTCTTCAAAAAAAAAAAAAATCTATTGGCACTGATGTGTAAAGCTATGAAAAAGATGCCTATGTATAGCACTATTTATAGAAAAAATATTAAACATCGCAATATTCACAAATTAGTTAAATAAACTATGTCAAGTCCCTTTGATGGAGCCTAAGCAGCTGTTCAATGGAGTAAAGTAATTTAAATAAACTGGCATGAAGTGATGTCCGTGATAGACTGTTAGGCAAAAATCAAGTTGTAGAAAACGTGCATAGTAATCCCACTTCTGTTAAACGTGATATATATGCATATAAAAAAGTCCCTAATGAGCCAGAGAAAACCATTAATGATTGTTATTTGTGACAGAGGTAGACTTTTGTACAACCTACTCATTGTTTGAATCCTTTACAATAAATATTACTTTTATAACAGAAAATAAAGCCTACAAAGATATTTATGAGAAAAGAACAGCATTAACTTGACTTTTGTGGTAAGTGCAATGTTCTCCGTGGCCTCAGGGCAGCCTAATGGCCGCGGGGTCCCTGCCCGAATGGCTGAAGGTGCAGCAAGGCAGGGCCGAGCTCGAGCTTGGCGAGTCCACAGAGGCTGCAGCCAGCCAGCCAGCCATGAGAAAGGAGGGCATGCAGACCAAGGAAGCGCTTTGTTTTCCTTGTCAGGGGACCCTTGCTGTCTAGCTCTTTGCGGCCTCTGTAACTACACTTCTGCTTCAGAAGCACTGAGGGAGCTTACTGCATGACCATAACCTATGGCCGTGACCCCAGACAGCTCACTGCTCAACCTTGGCAAGCCAGCACTCGCAACACAGTTCCAGCGTTCAAGGGGTGATGAGGAGTTGCCAGTGGAAAGTGACAGCAGCAATTCCTCTGCTCTATCCTCCCCCTCCCTGCAAAGCCTGGGGGAACTCTCCTTTGTTTCAAGGGCCCGGATGAAGGGAATTTGACCTGTGTCGGTGACCACAGCAATCCATCACGGTGCCCTCCCAGTCATGAATTTCCTTTCTCTAAGTAAACTGTGTCCTCTGGTCTGCCCCAGATGTCCCATTTCTCCAAGAGGGTGGGAGAGAGAACAGGCCCATCTGTTTAACCACAATGCAAGCGTCTGGAAACAGTTACTGCCTCAGCCCTGTTTTCTGAAGGCTAAAGACATCCAGGCGTCACTGTTCTTCACAATCATTTTATATTCTTCGTCACTCCCCTCTGCATACCTTATAGTCAATCTCTTTTCCTGCCCAAGCTGCCCTTAGGTAATTCCTGGTCACCCTCCAGTTTCTGGCTCAAATGCACATCTTCTGGGGAGACTTCCCAGCACCCCATGGCCAGGCCAGGGCCCCTTGTATCTTAGATACAGTCGCCATCTCAAAGTGCTTATCCCAACTTGCGTTCTCCATTTATTTCCGTGAAAACTTGATTAACATCTATCTTTCCTAATAGAACAGAAGCTCCGCAAGGGCAGAAACTGCACTCGTTTTTGCAGCACCCTCAGTGCACATGTGGTGGTGCCAAGGACACGCCAGTAACCGCTTCCTTGATGGAAGGATGCTGAGGAGGCAAATGGGTGGGTTATGTGCCATCGGGGGAGGGAGGAAGAGCAGCTGGGAAGTCCCTCTCCCTTGTTGTCATTAGTTTGCCTCCTTTATTTTTTTGTCATATGTGTCCAAGTGAATGGTTAGCCAGCCTTCTTGGCTATTTCTTGGGGCCTTTTCAGCTCTGGACCCTGGGGCTGCCTGGGGATCCTGGGGGTGTCCAGGAGCATGGAGAGAATAAGATAGGGACAGAAATCTGCTGCCAACAGCAGACAGCGCCTCGGCCAGCACCGGGGTCGGGAGTGAGGCAGGGTGGGCACTGACCTCGGCTGATGCGCTGCTTCTCCCCAGACAGGATGCCAGGGCTGTCGATGATGCTGATGCTCTTCAGGACCTGATTGGGCAGCTGGGAGCACATGAATCTGGAAGAAAGGGATCCAAGTGGGATTAAAAACTGCGTTGTAGAGTGTTTTAACAACGAAGCTCCTTGGTCTTTCCAGGCTACTGATGTCATCTGCTGTAAAGTGGGGGCTTGCAGGGGGTTGATGGGACCTCCACTGGTGCTACTGTCCATGGGGCAGGTATGGGAGGGGCTCTGGCACCTGCTGCTAAGTGCCACCAGATCCCTTATTGCTCACTGTGATTTTTGCTAACACTTATTGGACACTTAAATATTTCACAGCATCATCTCATTTGTTCCTCGTATTAACCTCAAGAGGAAGAAATTACTGTTAACCTCAGAGAGGTTAAGTAACTTGCTCGGAGTCGCTCAGAGCTGGGCCTTCAGCCTGAGCTCTGAGAGCCTGACTCCAGAGCCTGGCGGCCTCACCTGCACCTCCTCCATGCCGCTCCTTGGCCAAGTGTCCCGGACTTCTCCTCACGGGGAACCCCATGCCTCCTTCGGGGTCACTGCCCCATTGGTCTGGAGCATCTCGAGCTCCCCTGCCTGATCCCTAAAGTGACCTTGGAGGTACTGGGGCCTGTTTTCACTGTCTAATGCCATAAGAATTCATCACCCAGCCTGGTGCTTTCTGTGGCTTCAGGCTCAGGGTGCAGCAGGAACCTGTGGGCAACCCCCCAAATCCTCCAGGTGCTTCTGAGTCCTAGGAGTGCCCTACAAGTGGACAAATGGGCAGAGTGGGGGAGGGACCTGGCCAAGCTTCCCCAAGCCTCCTTCCTTGTCCATCACTTCTCTTCTCTCTCCTTCTGCTCTCCCTCCTAGGCCTCACAGAGGTAGAGGGGAGAAGCAAGAAAACTGCGGCCTGGGGATCAGCAGCCTGGGCTCAGGTTCAGTTCAGCCTTTGCCAAGAAATTGCTGTGGGACCCTGGACAAGGACTGCGCTCCTCTGGGTCTCACTTTCCTTATGTGTAAATGAAGACACCTGGGCCAGGAGCCGGTGAGTCTTTTTAGCTTTAATATTATCTAACTCGAGAGGAACAGAGGGAAAGGCTTTGTTCTCCACCCCAGGCAACAGAGCCCGATCTTTTTTAGGCACTGTGTATGTTTTAAAGTAGAAACTGTATACATCAATGCTAACTTCTCTATCTGTGTGGGCAGAAAGCTCGAAAACTCTTGGTGAAGGCTCAATTCTTCCATTCAGTGGAACTGGTGGGATTACTCAGAAAGTAAATATGCTGGGAATGCAGGACAGCGAGGCCTGCCCCGCCTTCGTGGTGCACCGGGAACAGCACAGCAGGCAGGCTGGAGACTGGGGTGGGGCAGTCCTGAGCTTTTGCTGTAACTACTGACCTTTCAAGACAGCTTTCTTTGAAGGTGCTCAGGACAAGTGCTCATATATTTTTCCCTAGATTTTCAAGTCAGCTCAGGATGATGCAGGAAAGATATTATGACCATTTTGTAGCTAGGAAAGTTGAAGCACAAAGCAGTTATGACATCTCGAGGTCATGCCAGTAACGCATGGCTGGCCTGAGAATGCGGCCTAATAGTTCTGATGTCAGCTGAGTAGAACTCAACCGCTAAAGTTAAAAACCTCATAATGTGAAAAATAAAGGGTCAAGTTAATTTGAGAAGTCTCTCATTTCTGATTTTTCCTGCCCCTCCTGCACCTGCCACATTTACATTTATCCCACTGTTCACTACTCAGAGAGATCTGTGAGAGTAAAGTGCACAGGGCTTGCCAAGCATTCTTTGAAAGTTCACAGAATTAAAAAACACCACGTTCAATACTCTAGAATTGGGGTAGGAATGGAGTTCTGAGCAAGTTTGTGATGGATGGCGATTCTTGTTAGTAATGACTCAGTCTCTTATCACAGTTCTGTCCTTTCTATCAGATAGCTAGAGACATTTGGCAATCTGAAAAAAATTGCACATATATGGAAAAGCATTCCTGGGACAGGGTGACCTTTTTCCAAAACCACTTAATATCAACATTTTCAAAACATAAAACCCCTGGATTCTATTGTAAAGTTAACAATGAGATTAAAAAATATATAAACTGCCCACTCCTTCTTGTGCAAAGTGACAACGTTTTACAACTCCCCTGGCTCCTGACACATCAGCAGAACAAAACGTAGGAGCCAAGAAACAAGATGCAGTCAGATGTAGTGAAGTTACCACACAACAAACAAGGGAGCAGACTGCGGGGCCAGGAGGGGTAACTGCAGGAAAAGAGGAGGAGAAAGAGGGGGAGAGGGAGGGGAGACAGGGACAGCTGAGAAGGCTCTAACACTCTAATTCAAGGAGGAAGGGGAAGAGAAGGAAGAAGGGGTAGAGCGGGGTGGGGAAGAAAAGGGAGCTCTCCACGGACACCCAGGGAGGGAGTGGCTGGGATTGTGTGCAAAGAAGAAAGCGCATATGGAAGGGGCACAGAGCACAAGTCAGCTTACAGACCCCTTGGAGTTAGAACCACACACATCTTCTTAAATAACTGTAATCAGAAAAAGCTCTGAATGCACTGCTCTTAAAGCAAACCTGTCCTGTCTTACTTTTAAGGCTATAAGAACAGAAGATAAAAAGCAAGGTTATTTGCTGGGTAGGTCACAGTCAGCCATGGGTCAGGCCTTCCCTACTTAGGTGTGTCTGCTGAAATGTTTCCAAGCACAGATTTGCTGTCTGGGATGGATTTCCTACTCCCTCCTCCAGGATGGATTTCCTTCTCCTTCCTGGAGTGACTAACATGAAGAATATCCATGCCTTGTTTTCTATATTTCATATGAAATATGCAGACTGTGCTAGTTAAGCCCTGGTGCCTCACACAAGCTTTTATAAAGTGTCTCCCTCACCCAAGGCTGACCAGATACCTTTTATTTTCTGATAAAAGGAGGGCAGGAGGGGCCAAGCCCTACTCTGGACCCCTATTACCTGTCACCCCCACAACAAAGGCAGGCTCAGGGGCAGCAGGGGGTGAGTAGGTAAAGGAATGGTCTGGGTTGTAAGGTCCTAGGCCAGCAGCTGGAGCCCAGCAGAACAGTATAACATGGTGTGAGGGGATTAGGGTTCTTAAAACTGCCTCCAAACACCGACATCCCAGTTCATGGATCAGCATTTTGAAAGAACCAGGCAGTACCTTAACACTGCTTTTGATTTCCAAACAAGGAGTGATATCTAGTAGTTAACTCACTCAGTCCTCACCACAACCTCAGAAGAAAGAGCTCTGTGTTATTTTACAGAGACTGCGCCGCAGAGGAGTCACAGATCACTACTTGCCACATCACATGGCTGGTAAGTGACGAGCTGCTGGGATGCTAAGCTAACAGTTCCGACCCCAAAGTCCAGGTTCTCAACGACTAGGCTGCTCCTACCATTTCATGCATTTGAACCACAGCTGTGTACCTTTATCACACAGAAGGCAACATCCTAAAACAAGAGTGGCATACCATAGTCCTGAACTCCCCACCAAAGAGGCCTGTATGTGACTTGTTCTCAACCGGATGGTGAAGAGCAGAGCAGGAAACAGGAAGCGGAAGATCCAGGCTCTGGTCATCTTCCTTGCTCACCCACCTTGTGACCTCCTGTAGGTCTCTGAGCAATTCTGAGGACTCCCAGGTTGTCATTAGGTTCAAATAAACCTAAGCTTCACTGGAGAGCGTATGGAGCTACTTAAAAGCATCTTCTTTACCTGCTCACTTTATTGGTGTATTAGACCAGAAAGATTACACGACTTCCTATTTACACAGTAAATAGCATATAATATACAAAGACTTGTAATAATTTTAATGGTCCTACTACATATGGCAGATCTAACCTTCCACTGCCCAGGGGGAATTTATTTTAAATCTACACTATAAAAAGCTCAAGGTTACCCCTAGATCTTATGGAATTACCACTTTCACAAGTAAAAGATGGGTGAATATTGGCAATTTCATGTGGTTCCACCTCGATATGTACCTTTGTAAATGAAGCCTCGCTGTCCTGGGGGAAGGAGGAGGCCAGGTGCAGCGTATACCAGCCAGTGCCAGCGCAGGAGGTCTGCCCGCGCTGGCAGGAGGCCAGGTCCAGCACTGCACAGGCAGCTGCCCACAAAGGACAGCGGGCCACGGCCTGGGGCTGACACGATCCCGAGGTGAAAGACTGATGGGGAGAGCTTCAGGGAGTTTATTATGGTAAGCACAGCGCACACGCACACACCAATTAATGATCCAGATTAAAAAGTCTGCTGGTGAATCAAGAATTTGCTGATGGAGACAGCATGTGTCTGGACTGATGTTGTGTACTTGTATTAAGTCAGTTTTTAAAAAATTCCCAATGATACTAAGTGACTATGTAATACTTATAATCTAAAAAAAAGTCTATTTCATAAAGCCTCATTTAATTACAAACACAGAGGTAACAAATAGAATGTAAGTCCAAAAATACACATATGTATTCTATTATTGCTAAATTATTATACCAAGATAAGACAGTATTTTTTTTTTAATCATCACCATCATCAGGCCTGGCGAAAATGACAGGCGCACTAAAAGTACTGTTCAGATTCCTTCAGTTTAAAAGGAAGTTTTCAAATTTAATCCCTAAGGCCAATGATTAAAGTTATTTTTTAAAGAAATTGAGGCAATAAAGAAGTAAATGAGATTAAGAATTTCTGGAAGACTACAATTTAACATTATATTTTATGCTAAACTAAAAACAATGTCTGTAGTTATCTGAATTTGAAAAAAAGAAGACTAACGTTTTTGAAAAAGTAGATTAAGGGAAAAGCATAATATCCAATTCAAAAGCAGGCTGGAGGGAGAAATGTCAGAAGCCAATTCCTGACCCTTGTTGAACCGACCGAAACACACTGGTATCTGTCTCCCAGGGCTCATGGCCCCAGGGTGCTGTTGGTGCGTCCATTTCTTCCCCTGTGACATGGAACGCTCTCCTGATGACAGACTTTGTAACCTCAATAACCACATTCCCATGTAACAACTCCAAGACTGGCCCACCTGTGGAATTCCGCATGGAAGTAAAGCAGCACGGTGAAGTTGTAGAATGTCACATTAAAGTCATTTCCACAGAAACATTTTGTTCTAGACACAACTCCTGCTTTTTTGTTCAAGTATGGAATTTCTACAATTTGAAGCTGCCTTTCTGGGAATTTGTCTACATTTCTTAAAAATGCACTGTAGCCCTGGCCAGTGTGGCTCAGTTGGTTAGAGCATCATCCTGTGACTGAGGGATCATGGGTTCAATTCCTGGCCAGAGCACATTCCTGAATTGCGGTTTGATCCTCAGTGGGGGTGCATTCAGGAGGCAGCCGACTGATATTTCTCTCTTTCTCTCTCAAATAAGAATAACATAAATATTTTTAAAAAATGCACTGTAGACTCCCTGTTACTTTCTTAGGATTGAAACTCAGGATCCACTGGTTTGCTCAATGCTTTGAGGCTGGTGTCACCCCCCAGATGTCATCGGGTGCCACCTTGGAAAGTACTATACTCTTTTAAAGATGCTGCTGCAGGTAGACACCCAAGCCAACGCCCTATAATGAGGGGCCAGGATAATGGAACCTATCCCATGGGTGACTGGTGGTTGCTCAGTGGGGAAAGGGGAGTTCCCCTCAGCAGGCAGACAATCCTCTTTCTATTAAGTATTGTATTTTGACCTCGTTCCCAGAAAGTATGATATGTAAAGAAGAAGTTTGCCTGCCTTTAGAGGGAACCTGCTGATATTCCCACAGGGATGCTAAAATTACATCCACACATTTGCGCGCCCGACACTAACTGACTCTATATAAGTGCTGGGGTGAAACAGCAGTGTTTTTGTCATTGTCGGTGGGCTATATTAAAGACGGCCTTACAAGTCAGATGGGGGGAAGAAGGCAATGATTCTTAGTCTAAACATTATATTGTTGGGCAGCTCAGTACAGCGGTCACCAGCAGGACTCTGAGCCAGATGGCCTGGGTTCCAATCCTAGCGCTGCCACCCAGTTGGGTGACCCTGTGGAAGTTAAATCAACCTCTCTATGCAGCAATTCCTCCTGTGCTGCGGATAATATCAGCACCTAGTCACAGGGTTTTTGTGAGGATTTAGAGCTAATATACAGTTAGAAGAATATCTGATACAGTAAATGCCATATAATTACTTGCTATTATTTTTTCTATGTATTCTGAATTCAATTAACAACACTTGATTATATAATGCATGGGTTTTCAGAAAGTTTTCAATCCTGAGATAATGAACTTTGCCATTCAAAATCTTTCCTAAATGCTTTGTTTTCATCCTCATCTGCTAAATGTTTGGGATCTGAAAAAAAAAAATATCCTCTTGGGAAAGTAAATCACCTGTCAAAATTAAACAAACTAAAAGCCACTCTTCTGGTTTGTCCCATGTGAATATGGACTTCACAAAATGGGAACTTGAAGAAAGTTATAGCTCATTTCTTTTTTAAGGCTTTGTCAGGCAAAAAGAGAGTAAGTCTAAGGGCAGTGCGAACAAAACCACAGGACTCCAGGCAGCCTTCCACGGAGAAGGGTGCTGTGCCCTGCACTTCCTTTCAGGGCCAGTCTTGGGACAGGAAGCCTGGCTACTGCTTGCCCCGTGACCATAGCTTCCTGGGAGGCCCCGATGGCGGAGCTTCTGGTCCTACTTCCCCTCCAGTGTGGGTCACTCTTTCCCACTCCTTCCTGAGACTCTGTTGTTCCTCTACCAGGGGAACACCCTTATTTCTCCCACAAGGAGATGCTCTGCTGCCAACCAACAGTGCTCAGGAGTTGAGGAAGAAACTGCAAATCGCTGTCAGCAACAAAATGAAATTTCTCTGTGGCTCCATCTGTATCATCAGCACCTTTCCATTTATCCCACTGCCATGCTCCCTCCTTGCCACTGGCATGCTTTCTGTGATCTGCAATGGGAGCCTAAAAATGCCCTAACAAGAGAATATGGATCCCAAGAGAGCTCAGGGTTTCACAGAAGGCGCCTGTGGAGGTTGGCTGGGCCCCTGTGAGCAGAGCCACCACACAGCACCCGGGCACATCGTTCATTCCACAGTCCTTGTAAACGGTGCCCCCTGGAATTGCGCAATGAGATGCCTTAGCCTCTGGGAGGACAGCAGTTAGCTGGGAGGATACACTCTTATTTAAAAAAAAAAAATCTAAAAAGGAGAAATGGGAGTTCAAGTCTCTTTTCAGCTCTAGTCCCATCTCTCCCTACAGGGATTTAGATGACCCCAACCTGTCCCTGAACCTCCCACAGCCCATGCCCTTACACCAGCCAGTCTAAACCAATAAACTCATAAGAGAGGGGATGAGGGGAGAAGGGAACAACAGGACAAGAAAAAGAAGTGTATTTTAAATAAAAGGCTAGGAGTGGGAAAGAAGGGGAGGGGGAGGGAAGAAAGACCAGATCATATGTGAAAGGGCGGAGCTGCATCTGGGAGAACTTCCTGGTTTTCTCTCTGCCCTCACCACCCCCTCCCCAGCCCCCCACTCCCGCTTCAATGGTGAAAGGTTACGGGGTAGCACAAATGAAATGAATCTCCAATGAAGACATGACTTCAGCTACCTTACAACTTCACATCCATAAAATAATGCCCATGTACGAACACTAACTTTTTTGTGTGTTGCTTTGGCTCTGTTTACCCTGCTCTGCTCTAATAAAAAAGAGGCAGCTCAAAGCATGGGGGCGAGAAGCCTAAGGGACAGCCAGGGAGGTGAGGTGACCTGTCCTGCAAAAACCAACAGACTAAATCTGGGGGTCAGGTGTACCTCAGGGGTCCTTTGAGCTAAGCTGTGCACAGGAGGCCCTGGCACACTATGCCTGAGCGGTAGCATCCAGCCACAACTTAACACTGCCAGCGATGGGGAGCTCGCACTTCACAATGCAACATAAACCATTTCTGTGCAGCTCAAACCACTAGAAATGTATTCCTTATACTGTGTGGCCTTACAATGTCCAATCCAGGGCCTTAGCTCTACCTTCTGAAGCCACCCAGAATAGATGTAAATGATCATTTCCTATGAAAATCTTTCAAATATTTGAATACCACAAGCATGTTCTGTATAACGGCTCTCTTCTAGAACAGACATGCTCTGTTCTGTTTCTGAACCTTTACATGTAATCGGCAAGAATTCAAAGAAAAGTTTTAAATAACCTGACCAAAGATGGCAGTTTGCTAGTCCTTACCGATTTAGGAAAGCATTTCCAAAGCGACTAAGTTTTCGAAACGGCTTTTTGGGGTCCACGACCAAAGCATTCCCTGGGGTGCTGCCCTCGGTCTCCCCATACATCACAGCGATGAAGGAATCAGTGGTGGGCTCTGGACCAATCCTCATGCCAGGAAAATCTTGCTCCAGTAAGTACCTGGGCAGCAGGGACGAAAAGAAACAACATGTTGTCACAACGCAAAAGGTCAGAATGCTTCCTGGGTTTACCAATCTTTAACAAAATCATTTAAAAATCTAGAAATATACTCCTCCCCCCAATAAAAGGAGAATGATTTACTCTTTTGCTAATAGTAATTTTTCAAAGCTTAACATCTACCGACCTGTTTTTCCCCCCAGTGTAAGAAGCCTAGTGAATAAGGTCAGACGTCTTGCAGACTGGCTGGGTCTCCTTCTAAAAGTGGTCTTTGCTCAGCACAGAAATTCTCATTCACAGTTCCATGGGTGCAACAGACACCGCCCCAGAGAAGTGTACCCAGTCGGCTCCTATGTATCCTGGAAGACCCCGCTCAGGCCCACTTCCTTTAGGAAAGTGTCCCTGTCCCTCAAGCATGTTGGGGACACCTCCTCTGTGGGCCCCGGACCCTCTGTGCCTGTGACGACCCTGGTGCCCACCATGGATAAGATGCTTTTTTGCTTGTTGTTCCTTGGAGGTGGGCCCATGTCTGTGGCAGATGCATCTCCCCAGCACCCAGCACCCACCACTGTGCCTGCCCGCTGAGGGCACTTAATGTCGTGAATGAAATAATGAACAATCTCCTTCCTTGTCACTCACAGTCTATGAAGCTGGCACATCCTCCCTGTGCCTTTATAGCTCCCTTGGGCTGCTGGAGGCTGTAGCCACGGAAGACAATTTACAAATAATTCAGTAGCAACAGAGGCTGCCATGGAAGATGGAGGTGAAGGAGTGGGGCCCAGGCTAGATATCACCAGGGCCATCACTAGCCCTTTGTGCAAAGTGGAAAAGGGTGTCCTTTTGCTAGGCAGGACACCTTGTGCCAGGATTCACAGCTTAGCAAGGAGGACTCCAGCTGGATTTTACCCCCCACATGCCCCTTTGCCCAGGGGTCCTCATGTAGTTTAACCTGCACAATTGTACACAGTGGCCCTAGCAAATGTCCTTCAGGATTCTCATTAAGTGGGCTGAGGAGACCGAATGATGCGATACAGGGCATAGGACTGGCTATGTCCTGGTCACTCCATACTTTCCAGTGGCCTCCTAGCCTCCCTTTCCCCTATTTGTCCTTGAAGATCAGATTCTTCCTCCCAAGTACCACTCTAATGGCTCAGTCCTTCCCAGATAACTTTCTTTCAGGGACCCTCACAAACCACCCCTTGCAGTCTGGGCTCTTGTTCCTCCCCTACAATGGACCTTTCCTTTCCTTCCCTTTTTCTTTTCTTTTTTAAAATTCTCACCTGAGGATATGTTTCCTGATTTCAGAGAGGGAGGAGGTATGTCCCCTGACCAGGAATCGAACCCTCAACCTTTTGGTTACAGGACAACTGAACCACCCTGCCAGGGCTCTTCCCATTTTGATCAGCCTCTTCTAGGCCCGAAAATCCTACCTCCATCTTCCCTCACTTCATTTCCCCTGTCTGGTGGGGAATCATGTCTCACGATTTCTACTACCTTGCCTCCATCAGGGACCTTTCTTTCTTCCTTTTTTTCCTTTTTTGGACACCCCCTGCCTCAGCTTCTCTTGTGAAATCTTCATAAAATACTTAGTATTGGTGTTATTGGTGGGCCTATTTCCTCTCTTCTGATAGGCTGTCATTTCCTGCAGGGCACATTCCACACTCAGAACTTTAAAGCCTCGAAGCCTGTTTGGAATCATTTGGTTCAACCCCATGTCTGTACATGTGAAGAGACTGGGGATGAGGGCAGGAACGTGACTTGTTGCTGGTCAAACCTGCCTCTGGCCCTGCAGGACTGGAGCCTGGAGCTCTTCCCTCCCACGTCGAGGCTTTGGCTCTAGGCTCAGCCCCACAGCCTTGGGGTCCCACACATCCCCAGCTTCTGGTCCCCTCAGTAGTATCTATCTGGTCCCTGTCAGATACATGAGTTAATATATGACATGCTCAGCTGATTGCCCAGAAGAGTTTTCACAATGGGTGACAGTGAAACTCAGATACTCTTATATCACACTGCTGGGCAAGCATGCGCATGTCACATGCAGTGAGACAGAGGATCTGACACGAGCCAAGTGAGAATGAGGTAAAATGAGGTTCAAAAGCAGCAACCTTGAAAGAAAGAGTCTGAGCAGATCCTGACGTGTGATGTACAAAAACCATTACCCACACAGCCCACACACGAGCTAATCAACTGTGTTATTTTTTTGACACCTCAGAAGCTTTCTCAGAGCCATGAGTTCTAAGGACTTTGAGGTGTTATCTGTGATAACAAGAATTCAAAGGAACAAGAGGCCACAGGAAGCCTACGGAAAAGAGCCCACCACGGTTCAGAGCTGCTGGCCCCCTACACAGGCATCCTGTGCGTTAGACTGGGTTTTGTCCCTGGCTCCACCTTGTTCTCCTTTTCCTGTGTTCTCAAAGAGACTGCCAATTCCAGCGGTGATTGCTCCCAGAACTCGAGCCAAACCATCAATGTAAAAAGGGACAGACATTTGGATTCCAAGCAGCTGGGAGGAGGAGGTGGTGGGGGAACAGGAGACCCGGCAACTCTTTGCCTGTCTGCTGAAGGCCATGGTTCAGCCTCATCCAAACAGCTCCTGGGCACACTGGCTGCCAGGTTCAGCTGAGGCCCAAGGAACTGCTTTCATGCAAGGGTATATGTGGACAGTGTCTTTTTTCTTCCACTGCTTAGGCTAGAATTATTTTTTAACTTCATAGAAAAAAAAATGTGATTGTGACAAGAAAAAATCTTCAAGAGATGAAAAGTCCCTCAACATACCCAGGCACCATTTTCTCAAAGATGGGCTTTAGAATGACTAAAATACAAATGAATAATCAAACTATAAGAGGCACATTATTCCAAAATTCCAGCTGCAAATTTTGTCTCCCCTGAGTATGCATTCTTCAACTTATTCCATCCCAAGTACCTTATGGGGTAAGTACTATTTTTATCCCCATTTTAAGATGAGAAAACTATGTCTCAAATAGATTAAGTGGTTAATTATAACAGGGGTTCCCAACCTCCCTCCCTTCTGTCTGTGGACACCACTCACATTATCACCTGAGCTCTGCCTCCTGTCTCCCCCAACTCCACCCTAATCCGTGGGAAAACTGTCTTCCATGAAATCGGTTCCTGGTGCCAAAAAGGTTGGGGACTTGTGAATTAGAACATAAGATTTCTTACTAGTCCTTTGAGAACACTACCCCTACCCTAAATCAGAGCTTGAGAGGCTCAGTCAGTCTGCAATAGGAGGGCTTACAGAACACATTCTATGAATCACAACAAATATACAAATATAAGGCTGGTTACTAGTATTCAGTAATTAAGCAAGCACTCTAAAAAGTAACATGGCACATATATTTGGGGTGTACTATGAGCATTAATTTAAAATTCTCAAGCCACAATCCAGAGAAATAGCTTGTGTAATGATAAATGAAAATTTTAAAAAAAGGTTGTGCAGACACTGGCATCTGTGCTTAGGCTTTGCAGGTTCAATTCATTGATATGGCCTGGAATATTTTTTTTTAAGTGCATTAAACTAACCCCAATAATCATTTTATTCCTTTGGGTATAAACAAGGTTTTAAACCATATAGATGTGAAAGAAATACAGTACTTTTGAGTTCAGTGGTGAAGCAGTTTTATTTTCTTATTTTTAAACACGTGGCTATAAGTTTAAATAACTTCAGTTTGTAATATGTGTTAGAGAGTGTTACATGTGTTTATTGCTAATACTTGACCCCCTGTTTCACTAGGAGAGAGAATGAATAGAACGGGTTAGTCCTTCGACTCCAATTTTTCGGAAACCTGGAAATGATATTTTGTTTTGTTTCTTTCAATCCTCACCCAAGGATATATTTATTGATTTTAGAGAGAGAGGAAGGCAAAGAGGGAGAGAGGGAGGGGGGAATGAGAGAGAGAGAAACATCAATTGGTTGTCTCCCATATGCACCCTGACCAGGGATGGAACCTGCAACCTTTTGGCGTATGGGAGGACACTTAACCAACTGAACCACCCAGCCAGGGCTGGAAATGATGTTTTTAAAGCAGTTCCCTTTGTTTATCCTCATGTTTAATACCAAGAAATGGAAATAGGAGGAGAACCAAACGTTTACTATCACAAACGTCTTATAAAATGATCCAGAATATGTAAGTTAGTGCAACCAACAACTCTACTTCTAGACACCACCAAACAACAGATTATTAAGAAACCATGTTGTACAGTTTATAAGGCCTTTCACACATTTTATCACTTCACCCTCACTGTTGTTGGAGCAGGTATTCGTATCCTCAGCTTAGAGATAACTTTGCTTATGGGAAGTAGCTTGCACAAGACCACATTAGTACAAGATAATGACCACTTTTAACATTTTCAAATATTTCTATCCATTTTTCTGCAAATATATTTTTTAATGAATAGGGATCAAAGTGCTTAAATAATTTTGTATCTATATTTTCATCCTTAGTTTTTCCCTATACCATTAAAAATTCTTTGTAAACAATTTTTTAATGGCTGCATACTGTTCTAAAGTGAATATGTATCAATTTAGTTCACCATTTCCTAACTGTTGGGCATTTAATAGCTTCCCATTTCTTACCATTATAAACAAAGCTGAGATAAATATTCTTGAACAAATATTTCATCTACTTTAAAATTTTAATATTCTTTGAGTTATTGAAACAGTAAGTCAGAATGAGCTTTACTTCCATTTTAAAAGTAGGTCTTCTTTAAATGTGAAACCTTTTATTTTTGTTTTTCCCTTAGTTGAAACATTGACATATTATTACCAGGAATGTTTATTTAGAATATATTACATTTGAAACTGCTGCCCTACTAAGGGAACATTATTAACCTGTTTGGACCAAAAAACTGGAAATTTGCTGGGTAAAGCCTTTCGCATCTCTATTTCTCCCGCTATGAATGGAATGTAAACCACACGGGGCTGAGATGTGCTTGAAGATGTCTAAACTCTGATGTTCCCTGTAGCTGCTCTCCTCCGCCTTCCA